TTGATTAGGGCCAGGAGGAAAGTATTGTTGTGTTGGTTCCCTACCTGTGTTTTCCCTCCCCACCCACCCTTTGCATGCATCTCCGGGTTGGTACACTGCCACGTCAGCAACAGTGCCACGTCAGCAGTGCCTCGTTAGCAACAGTGCCACGTCAGCAGTGCCACATTAGCAACAGTGCCACGTCAGCAGTGCCATGTCAGCAGTGATGTCAGCAGTGCCACGTTAGCAACAGTGCCACGTCAGCAACAGTGCCACGTCAGCAGTGCCACCTCAGCGGTACCACGTCAGCAGTAACAATGCCACGTCACAGGGCCACGACAGCAGTGCCCCGCCACCATGACGGGCGCAGCTCTGGGCATGCCAGGCCAACTGGCCAACGAGTCTATTGCCGACTACAAACAGCGGTTCCAGACTCATCTCGCACTAATCGAGGCTGAGGAACAGCGCCAGCTGGCAGCCGAGGCTGCCCGCCTACAGGCTGAAGCAGCGGCAACAGTTGAAAAGCAGCGGCTACAGGCCGAAGCAGACGCAGATACCCAGGCACACCACAAGGAGGCCCAGGATCTGCTGCAGCGGCATGAAGCCGCCAGCATCGAAAGACTCAAGTTCTGGCACTTTCAACCGTCCAACGGCGACGACGCGACACTGGAAGAGCAGCACCAGGAGTTCCTCTCCAAACTCGTGACACGGTTGTTATACGCTTGCAACTATCAGCAGTCCGAGTTAGAGAGACAGAACCAGGAACTGCAGAAACAGTACCAGGATCTGAAGAAACAGCACCAGGAGTTGGGAAACCTCCGCCGGACAGTACAGACCCACGAGGATGCTACACGGGCACCCAATTCCCGTGTACTGGACCTGGAGCAAGCTGCACCAGGACCAGACGCTGGGGTATCCAGCAGTGCACCCTCTAACCGCAAACTGGAGGAACGCGTCGACCACGTCGTCGCAATGCTCGGCGACATCAACACCTTCGCTGAGCCGACCACCATCAGCAATCAGCTGGATACCTTGAAGACCGAGGTCGAGCAACTGCAGTTGCCTAACAAGAATGGCAACAGCACACAACATTACAAGATGCCAACTTTTCAAATTGAGAAGTTTGATGACTACACGCATCAGGACCCGGTCCTCTGGTGGGAAGGTTTCACGACGCAACTTCGGATTCTGTTAGTCACCAAGCACGCGTACATCGGCGCCCTGTTTCTTAACTCAAAGGGCGGATGCCAGGTCTGGTTAACCCACCTGGCAGCCACCCACGACGTCGATGTCGCAGATCTGAAAGACAACATGGGAAGAGTTAACACGTGTTAACTCATGGGAAGAGTTAACACGGCTGTGGAAGAAGCTGTTCATCGTGGACGACGCACCTGCACTCGCCATCAACCGTCTCTTCAACATGACGCAAGGCAACACAGCAACACGTGACTGGCTCAAGAAATGGCAGAAGATCGCAGCAACGCCCGATCTCGACTTGCCATTTACGCATCTGCGCCATGAGTTCTACAACAGGTCATGCGCTGCATTGAGCCTTGCTCTTGGTGATCGCGAGCAGTATGCAACCTTCGCTGAGATCATTGACAAGGTGAGGGAGATCATCAAGACCAACAGGGCGGCTGCACACCTCTTCCTCCACCCGCTTTTGCTTTCCCACCCGATTCCGACCCATTTCATTCCTCCCCCGAACCCGATCCCAACCCATCCCAACTGCAACCCGATCCCATCTGAATTCAATTCCCATCCAACTCAATTCCCATCCGAACTCAAAGTCCAATCCTCCCCCAAACCCGATCCCAACTCATCCCATCCTCAACCCAATCCCATCCGAACTTGATCCAATCCAACTCCGAGGTGTCCCAATTCCCACCTGCTCCCACCACACCTCCAACTCCGTTCAACCGCAACCTACAATCCATATCTTTCTCCACCCGCTTTTGCTTTCCCACCCGATCCCGACACATCTCATTCCTCCCCCGAACCCGATCCCAACCCACCCCAACCTAAACCCGATCCCACCCGAACTCAACTCCAATCTATCCCAACTTTTACCCAACCCACTCCGATCTCGACGCACCTCGACCATCTTCCCCCTCTCTCCTCCTCCGATCCCGATCCTTCTCGAGCCATTCCGAAACCGATCCCAGCCCATCCCGACATCTACCTGATCCTGCTTCAACCCCCCCCCGACCCCCATCCCAACCGATCCCGACGTCTATCCCACTTAACTCGAATCCGTCTCATCTCGACTCCCCACCGCTCTTGTCTCGCCACCGACCCCAACCCATCGGGACCCCAATTAACCTCGACTCTCACCCACCCTCTCCTCCCTCTCGTTGCCAATCAAATCCGAACTCAACCCACCCCGACTTATAGCGGACCCCACGATTACCCCAACTGATCCTGATCCCAATATCCCCCATCTCCCACTCAACCCCTCTCCATACAACTAGCGACTCCCCCCCCTCATCCCGATTCCACCTAATCCAAACTCCTTTCACCCCCCACCCACCCCACACCTCTATCCG